TATATATATATATATATATATATATATATATATATATATATATATATCTCGCTTACTTAAATTGTAATTATTTACGCAGGAACGCGAGAAACGCTTTAAAAATTAATTGAATGAAACAAAAACCATAACTACTGAAGTGTTACTTTTAAATACCTTATACTTAATTATACCTAGTTAACAATGAATTGTGCACTATAGTGTTATACAGTTCAATCAAATTTGAATGCACCGTTGTATAATGTACGATTCAAAGCCGAAGTATCATATGTAAAAACACTAATCTAAAAAGTCATGGACGCGGTCAGCGAAGATTTGAAAACAAATCCATATGAGCAAGACCCCACCGTCTTATCGTTATACAGTAGCCGCCGCTTATTGGACTCACTTTGGGACCCGACAATTTGAGTCGATTAACCGAATGAGTCAATAAGGCGAATGACTCAAAAAAATTTTAAAAATCCTTAAATTTAAAACCGTATTTACTTAAAAATATGTATTGAGATTCAATATGTATATATAAAAATAAAAATCTATACGCAATTAAAAATAAAATAATTAAATAAAATATGTACCTAATTAATAAAATTAATTAATTTTTTGTTAAAGTGTATTGATGTAGTGTTAGAGGGTAAGAATACGAGGTTAATATGTTTAAATTTCACTGTAACCACATGAGCCGTGCAGTTATCGACTAGCAATAAAACGTCATGATGAAGTTCATTGTCCCACTTGATCAGCCATTCGGTGAAAATTTCTTTTATCATCCATGCATTACTGTTTGCAGTATAGTCTACCGACAGATTCTTAACACCCTTGAAACACCGGGGATTTTTACTTTTACCAATCACAAGCAGTTTTCTTTTTTCACCATCCATACTCGCACAACATAATATGGTTAGACGTTCTTTACTAGTTTTAGTTCCTCTAGTTTTTTCATTTTTGAACACGTAAGTGTGCTCAGGTAATGTCCTGAAATAAAGTCCAGTTTCATCCGCATTGAACACACAAGATGGGGATATTTGGCGATAAGTGATGGCCATTCTGAATGAATCCACAACCGTGCAGCTACATGGTTGGCTTCTTCCTGTTCTCCATGTGGCTTAACGAATGAAATGTTTTCGCGTTTCTTCCATCGGTGAAACCAACCTTCTGTTGCCACAAAATTATCTTTGCCTATTTTTTTCGCAAGATTTTTGGCGCAAAAGTGGTCCTGTTACTCGGACATCTTTTTGTCTGACTTTTGTGAACCATTGCTTTAAAGCTTCTTCAACTTCTTCTTCTTTACCGACCCTTTTTCTTTCACGGTTTGAATTCACATTTTCTAATGATGCGTTTTCGATTTCCTGTCGACTTTTCAGCATCCTACCTAGTAAACTTTGAGACACGTTCAACTTACATGCTGCTTGTCGCTGGCTCGTTTTCGGAAGCTCGTCATATTTTTTAAGAACATCTAATTTTTCTTCCACACTCAAATCACGTCGTTTGTTCATTGTAACACGATAAATAAAAATGTTTACACAGAATGTAAACGCAGACAATACACTGAACACGACGACGTGTATTCATCCACTACCTGCCGTACTAATTGACATTGACGACTGCTTGGTTTATCGTGAAAAGTAATTTATTTTATCTCCGCGATAAAAGCAAAATATGTACCGGTACCGACTTATTTATAACACGATTTTTCAATGTATGTACATATTTTCCTTGTTTATCTGATTTTAAAATGACCCTAATAACCGGTGTGTGAGTCGAATAGACGAATTTTTTGCTGTGTGTTAGTATATGTGCGAATCGGGACCAGCCGTTTTGAGTCTAATAGAAGAATGAGTCAATTAACCGTGAGTCCAATAAGCGGCGGCTACTGTATCACTAAAATTAAACGACTGACGGCTGCAGGGATATCAAAACGGTTACAGCAGATCAGTCGAAAAGATGACCAATCGAGGAATGCCAAAAGCATAATGAATTTGTCACTACAAATTAAAATAAACAGTAGCAATATATCCGTGTAATTATGTTTTATGAAACTAATGTTAGTTGAAAACAACAAATTTATTCGACGGTAGAGTTGTGATCTAAATACGGACGAGTTACAGAAACAACATTATTCGAGCAGTGTTACTGGAAATTCCAAAATCTCATCCGTGTAGAACATAACGTTGTTGTATGTCATAAAATCCTTTTCCGCCTCGTAAAACGCGAATACATAAAAAGACATATTCCGTGAAAATATAATTTTTACGAGTAAAATCCTTAAAAAAAAAAAAAAAAAAAAAAATTAAAAAAATTGAACCAAAATACAATAAATACATAATATTCACACAAATTGTTCGTCTCCGTTCGAAACGAAAATAGCAATGATTTGCTCGTATACGGTTTCATTACACTTTTGAAAAAGATTGAAAACCCGTACAATACACGCTGCGGCGAATGCATCCGTTTGATATTACACAGTATATGTATAGAGTATGTTGTTTATGTGTGTATATTATACGCCCGTGTTTCTAGGCGTGCGATAGAACAATTAGCGCGAAAGCGACGTGGAGGAAAACGGATAGGTATCTACTTTACTATGTATCAAACGAAGAAAAACGCGCCTACTTACAATATGCCGGCGTCAACAAAGTATAATATACACGCAGTGCACTCGCGCTCAAAAGGGTTGCACGTCGTCGTTCCATATTTATTATTATTATTATTATTATTATTTTTTTTTTTTTGTGCCGACTGTACAATAATTAACGTTGTTGGTAGCAATTTCAAGACCACCGGCTAATTGAACCAGTCTGATTATTTTCGAAATACGCGCCGGATCGGGGCGAAGTGCGCGCGTACTGTCACCTTTGAAAGATCAAAAGAGTTTTTCCATAAAGGGCGGGGAACAAAAGGCCTGTAGAAGAGTATCATTATACACGCGCGCGCGAGCACACACGTACATACCGAGCAAAGACATATTTAATATATATATATATTTACGAATATTTCCCTCGAGGCTCTTGAAAAAAATCCCAAGTTTTTTAATACCTCTTTCCACTGATAATGACGCGCGGCTCCTTTCAAAGTCAAAGGAATAAGTTATACAAGGATCTTTTTGTTCTCCGGTGCACACGTATAATAAAGCCGGGCACGCGCGCGCGCACGCACACTTCGCAACCCCTTCGACCTGCTACTTAGATCATAAAGAAAAATACGTATAGGCCGTCGGCATAATGCGTATACGTGTATACGAATGTGTTTATGTAAAGTAGAGCAGTGTGTTACGAAAAAAAAAAAACGACGTTTTATCCGAGTTTACACACACACACACACACACACACACACACTTACGTGCAGGCATTTTCTTATTTCGTACACGATACACGCGTGATATCCGAGTACACGTATTATAGTATAATATTTATGTACTAGTATGGTGTGTACATGTTATACCCGTGAATACTTAGAACAGCTTAGAAGTTAATTTATTTCTATGTACGCACGAACATTCTGCCTTCCTTCTCGTCGGTCAGAAGAAAAAATGTATTCGTTTTACTGCTCGTCGCGTGTCGCCTTAAAGCTTATAATACATTTTATTGAAGAAATCACACTTGTGAAAACGAAAATCACCATAAATAATACCATACACCGAATAGCGATACGCGTATATACGTATGGTGTAATAACTCTAAACTGCGGCGACAGTGGTGATGCCGGTGTACGGGAGGGGATGCAGAGAAGCGGTACGGTCTTTCGGGGAGGATCCGTGAGTGTATGCGGTAATGAGAGCGGGAGGTATGTGCTGCGACGGAAAGGGTTGGAAACGAGCACTTCCCGAGTGCTCGTGGGCTCTGGGCCAGGGTGTCCTGGTTGCTTCTGGCCGGATTACGGTCGTGTACTTGGAACGTTTTAAATGATGAATGGCCCCGACCCTGTATACTCGCAAATGTAAGTGTGTGTGTGTGTGTGTGTGTGTATAAGCCTGTAAAATATTGCTTTTAGTGAAACACAACGCACAATGCAAAAAGCCATTCATTTACCACGCGGGTTCTTCAAGTTCGGTGAATTTCCGCTCTTACGCACACAAACATCACTACACTGGCACGTGTATATGTGTATACGTGAGATACTCATGTATATATTGTGTATGGGTTGCATGGGTTAATTTTTACACCTCCACGCCTCTACTATTATATGTGTATATATGGTAATACATATATATGGTAATATACGCAGGTATAACTAATACAATCAGTAAAATAAAAAAAAAATATAATTAATTCCTTTTCCTGTCACTTATTTATTTATTTTTTTCAACCTTGCTATCAATCAATATACAAGTAGATTCCAAACTACTCATCAGTTATATATTCGTTCGATTTCTCTGCATAAGTTCGATGCATGCCACAAAGTTATGACCAGGGCTCATAACTTCTAGCATTTGCATATTTTTTTTTGAAAGGTCCTAGAGATACCTATGTGAGCTATAAATTTGTTTCAGATAACCAAGAAGCTAGATACGAAATTTTATGTTGCATATTTTTGCATATTTCGAAGTATAAGTACTATTTTACTTTTTTTCGCTTTTTTTGCTTATTTTTGGATTTTTGTATGATTTTTATCATTGATTTTTTTAAAATATTTTTTAATAGCCTAAAACATTTTTTCTTAAAAATAACAAGTAATTATAGTCATATTAATTGTTCATATTAGTAATTAATTCGTGTTAATTAATTTTTCTTCTCATATAACTTATATAATATCATATGAACTATATACGAGTTTAGTCGACGTGTGACGTAGTGAGTGTGTACGCCCGAAACTTCGTAATCCCATCGATAAAGAAACCATTATAATTGTATATATGTAATTGTAGCTTGTACTGTAGTATTTTATTTTTATAGTTTCTAGGTATTCGAGTATTCCAATATCATTATCTAGATATTCCGATACCATCATTCTCAGATTATTTACAGATTATTTTTCATTAACATTTTGCAGTCGTTTCCAATTTTTCGTATTGTATGCATGCTAGTTCGTTTCGTGAATTCAGTACCTAATTTTTTTTTTTTTAATAATAGAAGCTAAAATAATAAAATAATATAATAAATAATATTAATAATATAATAATTTTTATATACAAACGTTTTTTTTTGCATATTTCAGTATTTTTAGTGCATATTTAAGCGCTTACATGAATACTTTTTAGAGCATATTTAAGCGCTTATAACAACCTTTTTTAGAGCTATAAGTTATGAGCCTTGGTTATGACTGTAGCATTAAAAACGAAAAAAAAATTAAACATTCCTAAGTGATGAATAATCACTAATAATTAGATAATATTAATTATTTAATCAGTATTAATTCAATATTGTTGAACAAAAAGTGCTTGGGCATAATTATACAAATTATTTTACATTCCAATTAGCACATATCAGCTCGTCACGTTTTCTAATAAATACATATATTCAACTCGTATATTTATAACTATTGATTCGTTTCACTGTTTGATTATTATTTGTACACAATTTAAATTAAATAGTTATGTCTTTATCATTATATAAAATTATTACGTCAATAAATCAGTCATAAAAAATATAATCTAAATATTTAGTTAAAAAATTGTCTTACTTATAAAAATCGTATTTTAAGCGTTTCTTGTTCCAAAACTTCTTTTTGAAAACATGATTAACATATTTCTTCAATAAATCAAAATTATAGGATATTTTTACAGACAAAATAATATGTTTTTAATTAAAAATACACATAGTATGCAATATAAGTGTAATGCATTTTAAAGTTTGATGAGATAAAATAAATAAATTTTTTTCATAAAATCGTATTAAAAATTGCCTTATTAGTTCAAAGAGATGTAATAAATTCATTCGATATTCGTGTTTTTAAAATATATTACAGTATTCAGGGGACTGCAAAAAGTTTATTTCAAAATTGCATATTTTTTTGAACTTATTAATTATACTATATAATATTACATATATATATTTTACTATAAAAGTTGTACAATATACCTTTGTCAAATTACACGTATCAGTCATACCATGTATATATTTACATGTTATTATGATACCATGGGACAAATTAATGACTACAAATTTCTATAGCTTTGTATGTTAGATTCTTAATGGTTCTTCTATAAACTACTTTTAACGTGGGAATACAATGATTAAAAGTTTACTTTTTATTTTAATAAATATAAGATGTTTGGAATAGCTAAGGATTTACGAACAAAAATAAAATTAAGTTCAAAATGTTGTGAATCAATTTTCGAACAAAGTCATAATTTTTATTTAAGTACATCATTTTTCGCGTACTGTTTAGGAAAAATCGATACGCAAGTGTATTACAAACGTATCTGATAATGTAAAATTACTGGAAGAATTTAAAAAAAAAATGTGTTACAGATGCAAAAGTTTTCAATCAGTGAAGCGAAACGAGATATGTCGCATACCCGGTTGTTCCGTGTCGCCGTCCGCACCAGGAACGCCGACGCCCGTCCGGTTACCGCAGTTCCAGGGCGAGACATTCAAACAGTTCATTAATTACGTCTACACGGGAAAGGTACGTGCTAAAAGTGCTATAGTCTACTCATATGACTGCATCAGTTTCGTAGCTAAGGGGGGAGGGGGTGCTAAGGAGGCTAAGCCCCCCTTATTGGCCATGTTAGGTTTATATGTGTTTGCTATTATAATATACAATGGTATATTTTCAAAAAAATTTTAGGGTTTTTTTTTTTTAATTTTTCTAGAGATTTTATAGTATTATAAAATATATATATATATATATATATATTTTATAATATATATATACATATATATAAGGTATGAATTAATAATTATATTATTCTATAATTATTATAAATACAAATGAAGAGTTATTTACAACCACATAATATATAAATTACTGTTTCCGTTCTCTGTACCTTTTTAGCAAGTCATTTATGGTTTTTGAACCTTTTTTTTTTTGTTGAGTTGAGAGTCGAGACCCAGGATCCCTCCCCCCTATTAAAATACGCCACCACCAGTATACTATTATTTGGTATTCAAGTATTTTAAAACTTCAGTACTATCTAAATGTTGACGAATAACGGTTGTTTGTGTTTGGTTCATAAGCGTATTTACCACGCTTATAATTTACGCCGTGATTTATACTATCTTTTTAGTGGTTATCATGAATGTTGTGGCAACTCTCGTCTAACACAATAATGTTATAATCACTATAGTTTTTATACCATGTTATGTCGTGGCGATGCTACCACAGCTGACCACCGTTAATTTATTATTATATTATTATATGTATTTATAAATTATGTTTTAATAAGTATTATATGAACTATTTTAAAATGCTGAGAATACATTTATAAGCTTGTTGGGGGAGGTGGAGGATGAACTCTCAAACCTAACTCTACCTAACCAGCTCAAAAAAGTGTTAAGCCTCTCTCATTTAAAAATCCTGGCTACGCCGCTGGCCTACATAATACCGCGTAATAAATATTTATTACCTAACCCTTTATAAATATTATGTTTCATTACGTTTTCTTTTTTCTTAACCTTATATATAATCTTATTTTTAGAAATAAGCTAGATATTTATCGTTTTACGGTTAATGGATTTGTATACCCTGACATTGGGGTTAAAAACGGATTGTTAATTACATTTATTATTTTGAAATATAGATCGATCTTCCTTGCAATGCTCCCAATAAATGTTTCCATTTATCCTCTAGCCAAAAAATAATTATCATTCGAATGTATACTAGTTTTATAAGCCACTTTGTATCAAAATATAGTCATTATAATATTTCGTTCATAAACTTGTTACACAAACATTATATAATAGTATTGTGTGTATTGATGTGTTTATATGTATATGAGAATCGCGACTAAGTTAAAAAGTTAAAAGTTTTAATTGAATATCTATAAGTCACTCTACGCTACGCGCATGATAAGATATACATATACGGCATATAGCAGTAAATTTATGCGATTAATGATACTATTATAACGCGCTGGGGAATACAATGGCTTTAGCTCCACTAAACAAATTAATCAAATCATAATGAATGAAAAGTATTGTGCATAGAATTATTTTTATTATTTCCAATATAAATCGCATTAGAATCAAAGAGTTTCCCTTTGTTCGTATATCAACGCGCGCACTTGTGCAGTATTCGTTTAATAATTAGAATTATTTTTTTCTCTTTTTTTTCTTATACTTTGTACAATTCATTAAAATATATTACACTCTTGAGTGATCGTTTCAATTTTAGTTAATAATTATTCACGGTATTGAATATCCCGACCTTTCAAAACTTTTTATCGCATACTTCGCAACTTAATTTCAATACACATATTATCGATAAACATACGTAGGTATATACAGTACGTGTACTACGGTACGATGGTACCTACCGAGAACGGTTAAGTAATGCCTCCCGAATAGTATTTACCTGTTCAATGTTTATTTACGAAAAGCCAATGTAAGTACGTGTGTATAAAGTACAGTGGTAGTGACCCAGAAGAGTAATAAATTTATACTTTCATTAAAATTATAATCGTGTTTATTTATTACGTTAGTGGAAGTGCCGGGGCCCCGAAAAGTATGCTTTAACCCTCATAATTATTATTCCCGTGCCATGATGATTTACGACCGTGGTACATTGTCACAAGTTCAAGCTACACTCGTGAAAAATTGTGCACATTATTTTTTTTCGCTCCGGCTGCGCGAAAACTCAGGTTGTGTGTGTGTGTGTTTTTGGGTGTTTTGTTCGTGGTATGTATTTATGTACATAGATATACATATAGATAAATAATAAAAAAGTTTATGCATTTGTTTTCATAGATTATACATATAAATGCCACAGCGCGTGTAACAACATTTTTCGACGATAAAACCGTTTTAAATAATTGTTCTCTCTGTACACCCTTAACGTTTACAGTACACACCTTAGTATTTTAGATTCCGCGTGAAACGTACCCGCATTCTATACAATGATTTTTGATTTTGATTTTTTTTTCGTAATAACTATACGAACCGTGGTGTTTCGCACATTGGTGGGCAAAATCCTTTTTACAATTGTGTTAAACTGGTCCGATTACATTTTTTCTAGTTATAACTTACGTAATACAAACAATATGATAATCTCGAGTAATCCCCGTCTTAAATATGGAATTATTTTTATTTCTACGCAATTATATATCATATCCATAATAAAATTCTGTCGAACACGACTAGAGTATAGTCTTCAGGCAGAAAGTAATATTAATATTATTGCATAGTGTTATCGGTCGAATCCGTCCGGAAACGGCCCCATAAAGTCATGTTAATAACGTATTAACTATTCGTATATATCATCAAAATTAGATACGGTAGTTCTAAAGTTTATTTCGCTCTACTTGGGTCTCTTGTGAGCTTGTGACTCGGGTAGATTAAGCGTTTAATTTGTCAAATGTTTGCAGTAACGCAAAACGCTAACACCGAACAAAAGAGCCATTATAAGCACGTGAAAATGTTTTAAACAAAACTAAATCCATCTCGAGTAACACTACATACCTACTACTCGAGTGCAGTTTTTTTTTTTTTTGTGTTCACCACACGCCAGGAACGTTTTACAGGCGGAATTCCCTTAACACACACACGTGTTTGTGATGCCCGAAAACTCAGTTACTCGAGACAGCGTGTTAACGATGTAATTTAACCGTTAGGCTACATTACTTATGCCATAATTGTATGCTTGAATGGGTTGACATGAATTATTAGAGTGTAATATTTTGATTTCCGAACTTTAGATCGTTCTTCAAGACAACGGAGTTTTCGAAATGCTCACACTGGCACAGGAATTGGGCGTAGACGATTTGCAAAATAGTTGTGAAGAACACGTAACCTCGACCATGTCCGTGTTGAACGCCTGCACGTTTTTGGCCGCTGCCATAGACATCCAAGACAGGGCTTCCAGTAAATACCTATAAATAATATATATTTTATTCGTCCACTTTGAAGCTTGAACATTTGATCACAATATATGTACATATCGATTCGAATATACGAGTAGTTAACCTTATTTATATGGTATGTATTAAGAGTTAGAAAAAAACGGCATTTGCAACGGTTTTGCGAACGGTAATGCAACGATATTTTGTAGGACTAGTCTAACAACTTCACTAATTCATCTATTAAAACTGCGAAAGTACAATTGATTTTTAATTCGAATCGTATGTAAAAATATAAGTTTTTAAATGAACAAAAATCGATCTTAAAAAGTACAGTCAATTCAGTATAATAAATAGCATCTCATAGATGGTGGTCAAAGTAGGGTTCGCATGAAAAAGCCCAGCCTAATAAAATTTGGGTTGCTTTTCTGGGTTATACCCAATTGATATTTTAAAAACTTATAAAAAAAAACCCGGGCCGCTTTTCTGGATAAAATAGAAATTAATTCTTAATATTATTTATTTTTTTTTGATTTGTGTTAATTTTCAGAAAAATTTACCTTATAGGCATTATTTATTTTTCAAATTAAAGTATTAAACCGACTTAAGAAATGTATAATAATTAATACTTTTACAATAATACCCGCAAGGTTTTTTTAATTCATTTTTGCTGTAAAAACCTGATAAAAATATCCATTATTTTATAATAAAACCGAAAAAACCTAATCAGGTTGGGTTTATTGCTTTAAACCTCGGGTTTTAAGCAACTCTGGGTCAAAGTGACTCTGAATAATTGGAGGAACATTAAAGTATCTAATTATATGGTATATACTATTTTTCATATAATACTTATATATATTTATAAGTTACGTATGTATATAATATTTTATTGATTAAATTCAAACAAAATACAAATTATTGTTTTCATTAAAATTAAAATGTATACTGCAATTTTTTTTTTCAATTTTTTAATCACATGTGATTAATGGAACGTTGGACTTATTGTATTACGTGTTTAGTATAGACTTAAGCGCGCTCGCCCGCGGGTGGCGCACAGAATCGGTGCACAAAAAAGCTTAAATCATTGTACAAAAATATAAATGTGAAATATTATGTTAGCAGGAGGCAAAGGCGCGAAGTCGTTCGTCGATCGGTGCGTGTCGTTCATTGGCGAAAACGCGGCGAAATGTGTGAAGACCAATTCGTTCCTAAACCTGCCTAAAGAATCGCTGATTAAACTTATCTCGTCGGATTGCGTAAGTGCGGGGGTTAGAGTCGGGGGCACGAGTCGTCGAAAAAAATATTTCGTTCTACGAAACAGAAAAAAATCGTGAAACATACTACTCTTTTCAACCGAAATTAATGATAAAAAATACAAAACTAAATTAATGTTATCGCGTAATCTTTGATATCACCAAGGAAAACCATTGTATACTTGTTTGTTATCATTTTAAATAGCATTTCTTTCGAATGCCGGTCCTAACTGCAGTCCATTCTGAGGTTCAGATTTTCTATGACACGTTCAAGCGTTTCGGCCGATGACTTGAACAGACTTCCTCGATCGCATCCGGCTCGGTCGCGTAGACCAGTGTTTCTTTTTGATCCAAGGTTTTTTCTGGGCGCCCTTCTCTAAGTCATAACATGACTAATCATAAGGAAAATGTTGACCAGATAGTATTTCATGACGGCGCGGCGCATTAGGGCACCGCGGCGCACACTTTGGGAACCTATGGCGTAGACTTTAGGTTGTGGTGTAAACATCCACATCGTATGATCTCGCCGAATCGTTCTCACGATAATTGATTCCGTGGGACTAACCCGTCGGCTGTACTCTGTTTGCAGTTGGCGCTCGAAGAAGAAGACGTGTGGAGGGCCGTGGTGAACTGGGCGAAATTTCACGCGGGCGTGGTGCAACGGACAGCTCATTGGACCGAAGAGGAGCGGGCCAGGGTATGCCAACATCTGTCCGGGGTCATCAATCACGTCCGACTGTTGCTGATAGGTGAACGCGGTTTTTTTCCCCGTCTGTTGTTACCTACTGTTGTTGTTTTACGGGGCGGGCAGCGTTATTTATTTGAAAGGAATTTTCCCCCCCCCCTCCATAAGGTGGACTGGATTACTAAGTAACTGGTTAATTTTATGATTTATATTAAATTATTTGATATAATTTTTTTTTAATATCGATGGAGTCTTGATATCTTGTTATCATTAAACTTATTCACGATCGTAGAATACATATATATACATATACAATAGAATAATTCTTGGGTAAGAAGTCAAGTGGACTGAAGTAGATCAACTGGTTTAGTGCTTGCACCAATAAAATACATTTGTATACTATAATGACTATGATGATTCGTTTTTAACAATGTAAAATTTCAGTGACATAAAAATATTGTAGAGGAACTAGTTCTAAGTCCAAAAATATCAAAAAAAAGAAAAATAATTTTACACCATTTATCAGAATCCCATCTAAATGAATGTGCATTTCTTATTATTTCGCCCCCCTCCCATTTTCAAGGTCTGGAGAAGCTTCTTTAAGGGCATTTTAACGGTCTTAACCCAGAAACGTGCGTTCGTGATTCCCTGATTATAGGTTTTTTAGTCGGTAATAATAATAATCTGAAACTAACAAAGGTAAATTTCGTTTTTATAGAACAAAAGTGTTCTTAGCGTTTTAAATAGAATCAATATCTTTAGTGTCTCCGATTTTTTGTCATATCGTAGTCTTTAATCAATCCAAAATAATTATCAACTGTCTGATGTTTGGTGCAAAGAAGAATCTACACCGCGATGTGTTTTATCTTGCCACTGTTATTAATCATTTGGTATCAAATCGTTTTAAAAAGCTTGCGTCTCGGCTCGAGGAAAACAATTTGTCGTATGTTTGGTATATTTTTCGGGGAGGGGAAAATGCCCTATCAGAAATACACCAACGATGGTACGCAGACAATGCGTACAATTATATTTATTGCTCTCTCGATTTGTGCAGACTCCCAGGTGTTCGCCGAGGAAGTGGAACCGACCGGGGCCGTGCCCATAGAGATGTCCCTGGAGCGGTACCGTTACGCGGCGTTACCGAACAAGTTCAAAGAGATGTCGGACGACCAGCGTCTGCAGCCGCGGGTCATGTTGAAATTCTTTTCCGGGTCGCACATCTTAAGTCAGGTAAGTCAACGGGCTGCGGGCCCGGCCCTTTCGGTCTGGTCACGACGTGCACTAATACGCGGCCATCACCGTTCACTCGGCACAGGACAAGACTCATCTGCAGCGGGTGCTAAACCAGTGGTACGGCGGCGTGAAACAATGCTGGAGGCTGGTATATAGGGCGTCCACCGACGGGTTTTCCGCTGAATCGTTTCACAGACACTGCGACGGCATATCGCCCACCTACGTTTTAGTACTGGTAATGTAAATGGAAATTTGTCGAACACACACGAAACGCAATTACCTGTGAAACTTTTTTTCTAAAAAATAGGCTCTTTGAAAAAATTAATCACGTGTATATTGAAAATTATCAGATGAATCCAGTTTGATAATGTTTTCATTGTTCTTATTGGTAAATTTAATCTGGTTTATTTAATTGTCGGATAACCTTCGTTAATAAATAACTAACCAATGAAAACATAATAAGAAAAATATGAAGTAACAGAAAGAAGGGTGATTTTTAATAAAAAACTTGTTGCTGGACACTGGGTGCTAGGTATGGTAATAATTAGGTATCGCTTTTGCAGGCGGACGTTATTGAAGTTATTTTTAAAACGCGCATCCCTCGTAAAAAAAAAAAAACACGGTTTGTTGTTCGCGTGAATATTCTTTTTTGGTTTTCATGGAACGTAAATATGTAATACGAGTATTATATACACAATGAACTATCAATCGTACGAATTTGTACGTGCGTACGATTATACTCTGTGAACGCGAATGCATGTTTTAATCTACTTTCGATTCATGGAGCACGACGTCGTATGATTTGGCCATCGGCTAAAATAATCCGTAATGGAATCATTAAAACTATATTTGAACAAATCACAAAACGATGGGCACCGATGATTGTGTTCGTTACGTTATTACGTTAAATTTCACACTTCTTCAAACATAAAAAAAAAGTACCCTAAAATTGTCTCTCTTTAACAGCTTTGACGCCTTTGAAGCGTGTTTTGTTTTATGTTACTAGTAGTCTCTTGAAATTTGTAAGTTTTTTTCCACTTAAACAATCCTTTGAACTGTTAAATATGAATAGATACATGTATTCGTATTTTCTCTAAAACAGAAAATTAAGAGTATTTAAATCTATAAGTTAAAATTAAAACAATAATAATTAATATTACTTTTTTCGTTATTAAATTATGTACACAATCGAAGGTATAAAAACAATTATTTATTAACATGGACCTAATAATTATTCGTTCTGATCCAATGTTTAAAACTCGACCCATACATCTCGAGAGTCTCTTCTGTATGTACACGTATTATGATTTTGTGCACATCGTTTGAAATTCGTTTTTGTACATAATACTCAAACTGCCGTAACATATCCGTATGTTTTATTCGTTATGAGTGTAACGTGTACCTATCTATAGGTGTATGTGTAACATGGGCTCCAGCCTATAGCTATAGGGGGAGTGGCAAAATAAAATTATGGATCTAATTAAGACATTTTATTTGAGCTTTATCTATAATGTAACGCATTTGAAGCTACATATGAAATGATAGCAGCAATTGAAATATTTGGAAATAACTCAGCAGTTTATGAATCAACATTTTCCTGTTTAACCCGATTTGAAAATCTTCAAAGGAAATCGATGAAACATAAACAGCTATCTAATTTAGCTTTATTGGCATTTGAATCCAAATTAACTGAAAATTTAAATTTGGATGTATTTATGGACTTCAACAAGTAAAAAGATAGAAAATTACTAATCTTTAATTTAATAAAACTGGTAAATTCAAAAAATAATGTATAATAAATATATTAAAATTTAATTATGTTCACTTTATTCTAATTTTTTTAATTTTAATTTAAAGTATCTATTATAAAAATACAGTAGTATTAATAAATTAAAAATAACATTAATGTTGATTTTTTTCTATTGCCCTTCCCTACAAATTTGTTCGTCCCACCTGAAGATTTAGCGTGGCTACGGGCTTGCATGGGCTACTCGTATACATACATATATACGTATGTAGGTACTATATGTGTATTTCAGCAAAACCACTCTACAAATATGTTACCTATGTTCGCTTAATATATTATATAGTATATTACGTATGGAGAAAAACGCTCTGAAAATATCACTTAACCCCGTTGTACACCCACTCGATACGGTAGGGGAGACCGGCCATTAGTCCGTGTTTGAGTTTTGTCTGCAAATTCTATATGACACGAAGTAGTGCGCATAATATTCGCATTAAAAGTACACGAAAACCCACACACACACACCCGCACGCACACACCTGTATAATATATATAATATATATATATATATAGATCTACTGAATCGTCCCTTGTACGAGTGTTAAATGGATTTTTATTTATTTTCCGCAAATAGGGCGTTAACGGCTGGCTGTGCGGAGGATTCAGCGACGTGCCATGGGGTAAGAGTCATACTAAGGGTGCTTACATGGTGTCCGACAAGAGCTTCCTATTTTCGCTCAGTACCACTCAAGACACCCCACCGATAAAATACGATATTGTTAAAAAACCTTACGCTATATGTTACCATCAAGAGTGAGTATATATGTATTTACATAATATGTATACAGATGTTCAATGTCTACCCACCAACGTTATGCATTTGAGAAAAAACTCTTCGCGCATTAAACCTCACTTAAATAATTATAAACTCCTGTCCGAAACGGGGAGGGAAAACAACTAAATCACGGTCCCGAAAGGGTTGGTGAAACGAATGTGAAAAACCCGAGCGTCATTAATACGTCAGTGTATTGAATAGTATTATACGGTTAACACCGACTCTACAACCAGTGACGTAGTCAGGGAGGAGGGGCTAACGGATTATAACCTCCCCTCCCCCCGAAATGTATCTTTTATTTTCTAAAATACACAATAATTGTAAGACATACGTATAATGTTATATCATTGAACAATTTTCACGGTTTCGATAAACTAAATAATAGAACATTCTGTATATTTAACTTATGTTTAATCGACTTAAGTTGACCGGATGAGGAGGGATCTACGTGCGATCTAACCGTGTTTTAACTCGATAAATACACACGCGTCCTTTGCCGAGACCTCTCGAAAACATTAGCGCGCCCCCTCGCAAAATCACCACTCTCCCCGCAAGCGAGGTAGTTTTGCACAGGTGGTCAGTGCTTTCAGCGCTCCCAAGTTTCGGACCGTCGTGCTGTAGGTGCTCCGTTGAACATGACAGTTCCAACATGACAGCCGTTCGTCCTGTTCGCAGGACAGGACCGATATTCGGGGCCGGAGCCGACCTTCTGATCGCCAACAATTGCAACGCGAACATGGACAGCTACAGCAACCTGCCACACTCGTACGACGGTGACAACGCGTCGTGCAACTCGCTGATGGGCGACTACAACTTCACCGTGGCCGATTACGAAGTGTTCACGCCGGTGTCCTCGTCGTCGTCGTCGTCGTCGTCACCGTCATCATCGTCGAAATGACACGTGTGCATTAACAATGTTGGCTTGCGCCAATTGTCAAAGCGAACTGATCAAAAATATGAAAATCTGTGTAATATAAAATATCACTAATAATGACCGATTTTTTTTTATTTATTTCTTCCATCTCCGACGCAATCGTGTTGTACGACGCAGCGGCTGAACCGGTCTTCTAAAGAGTACTGTTGTTATATTATTGAAATAATAATACTAGTGTTCACATTAAAAAAAAAAAAGGATTAAAAATAGGTTTTACGAACGCTCGTAAAGTATTTGAATACAAGTAGGCTTATACATGATATTAATTAACATGAAGTAACATTAATAGAGTTAAGACTTACAAATTAGGCCGACGATGTACATAATAGATAGTTATCATTACATAATGTAGCATCATTAAATAAACATATAATATAAGTATAAATTAAATATTTTACATTTATACAAGTAAAATAAAAAGTTTATTTCTATTAAAAAAAAAAAAATCTGATACTGTTATTACGAAATAATCATCACATTTTTATAAAATGACTATAAAAAATATAAAAAACGTAGTGTAACGAAAAAATTAAAACGTTTGTTAGTAAAATGTTGCATTTACTTTTTAATATCATTGTTTTTTCGAAATTTTAATCACTCATCTTTTATTTTTTTATTTTGTTCAACCCAGGCGCCTATTTTATATAGTCTTTCAATGGATGCACTTGAGGGGATGAGAGTATACAGGAGTAACAATATTATTTTTATAGTTAGTAAAATATTTGTAAAAAAAAGTTACCTTATCAGACTTAATGGTATTTAAATATAAATATTAAAATGTTTATTTTTGTATTCATAATACTTTTCAAAAATACTTTAAAAAAAAATTATATTTGAAATACCATAAAATACTTTAAAAAGTTATTCAAATATTTTACAATACTGGGCTGAACTGCCAGATCTTTTCCCCGGGAAATGTTTTACTATTTTGCATTCGAGCAATGATTATTAATATTAAACCTAAACATTTTAAGTTGAGAAAAACGTACACGATCATCGATTATTCTAACCATAGGTATTTATTTTGATGTTAGTTAACATACATTTCGATCGGTGGTTATTAAAACCAACATATCAAACAAAATAAAATATTTTCTAGGTAACTAAAAAGTGAAAAAAAAAATCATACGTCCAGCCCGAAACCCTTAAAAATACGATTTTCAAAAAATAACTTCTTGTTGTTCGCGTCTAGAGTGTTAGAGATAAACCATTATGTAAAATCTCAAATGCATACGTTTTGTCGTTTTCGATACCAGTGAGTCAATGAGTGGTATTGGAACTTTATGCTTTACGTACCTAATTATCGTATCTAATCGTGCATACATAATGATACATGTCTCCCGATCTAATCACCTGTATGTTACAAGTTAATGTACGTATACATTATCCCGTCTGATTCCATCACCTCCATCTCGTCTCTAGGCATATTGAAGCTAAATCCTACTCTTTTTATCCCTTTTTTCTATACGTCTCACTCCTGCTCTCCCCCCGTCCTATTTTTCCGCCGGTACGATGAAGATTTCTATCCAATCCCCGAGAAATTGGATTCGGTTGACCGATCGTCTGCCATTACGTGTGCGTTTTATAGTATTTATGTGCGTACATAACGTGTAATATTCACGCCGTTGCGCGTTACACGCCTCATCCGTGCACGTCACCTCATCGCAACACCATCTGTGCGTAAAATCGTATTTGTCCATATGCGGATGTAATGGTTTACCAGAGTTTCACGAATATGTGTCAAGATCCTGTATATGAATATTCTAATATTTTAACGCCACTGACGTATTTACGTGCAGGCACTATAGGCACGTGCGTACAGCGGCAAATGTTTGAAGGTTATACTTTTTACGGAATTACACATTATTATATTTATATACGTTTTTATGTTTTCTGATACTGTAAAATATGTTATAAATACTACTATATGAAAAAATAGTCGACAATTGTTTCCCCCCCCCCCCCCCAAACAGTTAACATGTTATCTATCTTCATAATTTCTTATAGCCGTCTATATAAATATAAGATTTGGGAATGTTTATGAAAAAATAGTTATCGATGATTTTAAATATAAAATATTTAACTATAAACAATTATTCTAAACTCAGTTTTTGTTTACTTTGCCGTGTGTGTAAATCTTTTGTACGTAAATCGTTTTCCTTTTATTTTATATATATACATATGAACTTTTATTAATTCATTGATTATTTTTACTATCCTTTTTTATTTTTATTTTTTGTGCAGATGAGTAGAAAACGGTTAAGTGGTGACCAATATAAAAAAATTGCCAAACTAAAAAGTGATAATTTGCACAATGTTTTAAGATAAACATAAATTGACTGATTTTTTTTTAAATAAAGCTTCTACTGGTATTTTTAGTAGCGACAGTACTGTAGTGACTAATAGTGATGGGCAGAAGTGACTAATTCCTACCGACTTAGTAATTCTGTGTAACTAATTTAGTTACTCTTTACGGTATAATTAGTCATTTGACTAATATTTTATTCGGCTATCTATGATCGACCAAAACTGATGAAAAATTAATAATTATCATATCCAAGTTTGAGGAATTAATTTTATGTAGTTATTAAATTTTAATAAAAAATTTTTAACTTTTAAGAAATTTTGTTTTATTATTTAAATAATTTGTTTTACTTAATTAATGTAAATTTTATAGTATACAAACGATAACTTAGTCTAATATTTTAGTTATTTAAGGGTGGAATTCTCCATAGACCTATAAACATGATATTGAAATCGCGACTGATATAATAAATTGTAACTGACGTCTGAGGTTTCATGATTTTTTTTTTGATTTTTCATAAACTTAACAGCGCCCGGGGCAAGCATATCCACTTCCTAGGATCCGGCACTGCCTACACCGGTGCACCACCTCCTCCTTGATGTAATTCCATGTTTGTTTTACATTTATACATCCATAAAATCTACATCATATTGTACAAAAAAAAAAAAAAAAAAACGTTGCGCAACACGGAATACGGTATTCGCGATACCGGTATCCGAGGTCATAATTTTCGCGCCTTTTCATACCGAATATATATGCCATTCAACACGTCGAGACGACGACCTACCGTATGCGTAGGTAATGTAATAATATTGTTACGAACGCACTAATGACGTTACGCTGTATTTGTATTCCTGCAATCACGTTCGCGTAGACGTATTGTTGCTTTTGACGGGGGTCCCGGAGCCGTCAGATCGTACGATTGAATGTACAATAAACCCGAACGTCTTCCGTAAGTGAACTCGCGCGTGTCGTACATATTACATAATACGAGGAGTGTACACGGTGCACGTATCTGTAATACCGCGCGCGTCGTGTATCACGCCACGGAGGATGAGAGGTCGCCCCATGCATCATCTAAAAGCACCTGTGTTGTATTTCAATCGGATTCGTTTGACCGCCACGAACGAAATACGCCTCGCGCCAACTGCAACGCGATAATGGTGACGGGGGAAAAAAAAAATAAATAAATAAATAAAATATTTTAAAAAATATGGTGTTGCGCAATAAATCGAGTTGGAATATTATTTGTTTACTCGACTGAATAATGTGTCGGGCGAATCGGCCTTTCCGCCCCGTAATGTGTACGTACGCTACGATCAGGCACACAAACGCGCCGTGAACTCGCGATGTAATGGCCAGTACACAATCTGTGACGTGCGGAACGCGAAACTTTGTTTGGACTTTCGAATTACACAACAATAAATCACCTGTCACCATTGCGGTCGGTGCACTTCCACTGATTCGTGTTTACCAGTGAACGGGCACGTCGGTTCTTTGAAAATCGTCACAAAAATAACGCTTGTCGAAAAGAAATACTTGCATTTTAATTTTGAAAAATAAAAAACTCGTTTTTATTGGACGAGACGTGTGCGTATAGCAGTACGCACGTGATAGTCATGCGTCTAACAATAACGTGAGATGATAATATTTATTGCGCTAAACACTGCGAAACGTTAATAATCGTCCGTGTGCCTTTAAAAACTCGTTCGTTCCTCATTTGTCGAAAGCTCTTCATGCACACGTAATTATTTGAAGATTATTTAAAAATGGCATTTGGCACGTTTCTGGTGCGCTGTAATCCCCGACGAACAGTGATGGCAGCAGCTCGATGCTCCCAAAACTTTATTTCGTCATGCCCCAGAAATCTCCGAAACACAAATATTATTACATAATTTTAAAAAAATGATAGCACGTTTGTCTAAGACTAAAAAATGCACCTAAAAAGTTTACGATTCTTGTGCGACGCGTTTAAAACTTGCTTGGCGGCAAACTGTAGCGCCAAACTCCGCTCCGTAGGGCCTATAGCCTATTCCACACCGACGGAGCAACGATATCATAACTGGCTGGCGAACGTCGAGTTCCCAAGTAGGGGAACGGGGAAAAAGAATGTGCCTGATCACCGTTGTTCGCACTGGGTGAAATATGTTTTCCAGGCGCCTCGGCCCCTATTGGATATAAAGTGGGTGGGTAGGTAGGTATATACGTCTATGATTATGGGTACCTAGGTAAAGTACAGGCGTAAACGCCGTAAAGTATAACAATGCTATACGACAACTCATATGATGTTACAAGTTACTTAGTTACAGCATAATTGATAAAGTAATAGAAACAGTTATATCATCTGAATCCACAATATTCGAATATTAATGTACCTGTATTAAAAGGTACGCTCATATATTATGAATTATATGCTATAGTAATAACTGATGTTTAATTATTATTTTGCATAGGTAAACAAACTTACAATATGGGTATTGCACCGCCACCCAACCACATGGTGATAAGATACTAATAAGCCATAGATAAATTAGCGTTAACAAGTGATGCAATGATGAAGTCGTTACTTTTTAAATAATATTTGTTAAACGTAAATGCACAATTTCAATGCAGCATAATCAATTGTAAACGTTTTTGTTATAAAACATTTAATACCGTAAAAAAGAGAGTTAATTTTTTAATAAATGATATACCACCCTTAGTATTTAAATTTATGTGTAAATATTAATTTAAGGTGGTTTGGTGTGCTTGGC